CATTCTTCACGGGATGATTAGCATTTCCAATCCCAGCTTCCTCCCTTCCCTTGAAAGAAGAGAAGTGACCCGTGAGCTGCTGCTTTTCTCAGATCCCACTCTTCCCAAGGTGGACTGTGAATCTGACAACTCATCACCTCCACAGAAAAGTCTTCCCTGGCCACCTGCCACAGCCCTGCCAGAAATGATACCCCTGTCCTCTGAAATCTGAAAGCCTTTCTCTGTCTCCCATGGAGTTTCCTTGACTGACTGATCAATTGATCAATTCATTCTCTCAACAAACATCCGTCGAGTACCATTCATTCATTCAACAAACATTTCTTAAGTCCCTACTATATATATCATCTCTTAAGCTGCCTACTATGTTCTAGTCATTGTTCTGGGTCCTGATGAGACAGCAGTGAACAAAACAGAAAAACACCTCCACCTTAGTGGAGTCAAATTTTAGTAGCAGGAAGCCAACAGCAAACAAGTGAAAAGATAGCATGGAAGATGATGCTAAATGCTATGGAGAAAAATAAAACAGGAAAAGGGAGAACACACAGAGAAGGGGGAGGTAGATTTTAAATAGGGAGGTTAGGAAAGCCCGCAGGATCGAAGTGACATCTGAGCCAAGACCTGCAGGAAGCAGAGTGGGGCTAAGTGAGGCAGTGTGCAGGCAGACACCGGCCACAGGCCCTGAGCTGGGAGTGTGCCTGGTGTGTCTGAAGAGCGATGAGGCCAGAGAGGAGTGGGAGATGAAGTCAGGGAGGAAACAGGGTGGGAGAATCTGAAAGGACTTTGCCTTTCAGAGAGGGAGCACCATGCTCTGACCAGCGTTTTGTTGAACTAGGATGGCTCTGGCTGCCCTGTGAGCACACTGAAGGGAAGCCAGCAAGGAAGCGGGTCCTGGGTGGAGGACAGGGGTGGGGCAGCTTCTCCGCCTCTGCCGGGCGGGCTATATAAACCAGATAAGATGATTTCAGGCAGAGGAAGGCTTGGGGTGCAGGACATCTGGAGTCAGGGGCAAGGAGAACGTTTGTGGAAGACTGGAGAGAGCTCCAGAGAGTCGGGCTGTAGGGCTGCCACTAGGTTCAGGAAAATGATCCCTGCAGCTTTAAGCTGTGTGAGTGTAGGCCTCTCAGAAAGGACGGACTTCTCAGAGTAAACCTCTGGGCTGGGACCGAGAGATTTCAAACCCAGCCCTCTGAGCTCAGGAACTCCTAAGTGTTTCTGTAATTTGCCCAGCTGCACCTGGTTTGTGCCCCCACACCTGCATGCAGCAGTCAAGCCGAGGTGCTGAGGAATGAGAGGCTGAGAATCCCAAGTCCTGAGTTCAGGTCCCTCCTCTTCCACGTGACTGCCTGTGTGACTCTGGGTGAGCCATTCTGGCTTTCTGCTGGTTTCCTCACCAGCACCCCAGGCACAGTCACCATTCCTGCTGAGGGCAGTGGGCAGTTGACATGCTGACTGTGGGTGGAGCAAAGCCTTACTTGTGAGAACCCTTAGGCAGAGAAGGTTACAAAAACTGGTTTACAAAAGCTCCCCACACTTCCTGAGATGAGGGAGTATCGGTGAACGTGCAAATATCCCCCAGGGCCTAAACCAGTCATTACCCGGGCTGAACGGGGCTACTGGTCTTCCAGGTCTATCCTAAGGGAAGAGAACTAGTTAACTTTCCTATGGAAGAGGGAGGAGAAAGGGCTGAGTCCAAGGGAACAAACGAACCCCCAAAAGAGGTGGGGATACATAGAGAAAGGCAAAAGGGAGGGAGCATTAAGGAGACCGTTGGAAACACCGTGTCCATCTCAGGATGTCGGCCAAGCAGTCATGCAGCACATAAGACAAGCCTATGGCCCTGGGTTCACAGCCAGGTTCTGCCACTTCCTAACAAGCCTCTTCTAATCACACCACCCTTGAGCTTTTTCCCCTCCATTAAGCTGCTGGAGTAGGGGTGTTGCCAAACTATCTACCATTTAAAATTCTTAAAAGCTCAAGCAAGTCAACTGTGGGAAAGCTCTCTGTGAACAGTGTTGTTATTATGCACAAAAGGCATCTCAGAAAGGGCGGCCCTGGATGAAGGAACAACCAAATGCCAGGAGCCAGCAGGCCGGGGCTGAACAGCCTCAAGTGCAGACAACGCTGTGGGATGAGAGAGACTATGAGCTGATGGATCACGATGTGGCAAGTCTCAGGTGTTCAGCACTGGTCAGGAGGCACGAGCAAGGAGGAAAATGCTCTGTACTGTTAGGAAAAGTTATCTGTAACTTGGAAGTAAGGCAAAAGGAGGATTCTTTCCTTTCAGTGTCATTTTGGGACAGGGTTGAACAGACAAGAGTTATTTAATTTTCAAGGGGAATGTACCTTTGCCTTACAATTTACTATAGATTAGAGCCCAGACTTTGTGAAGTCACATGCTAACTTGTAGGCATATGCACAAATATGTACATGCATGTATGTAAAGATGCAAAGGATTTTTGTTCAGTAGAGAACCAAAAAAATCATGCTTTTGTCCTGTAAGGCATATACCAGTTTTGTCTCTAACTTAGCAAACTTATTTTAGTATGTCTCTTCCAACTAAATACACAAATCTGTCTCTCAAACGCTCTTTCAATCAGCTTTGCCATTCTTTTTGGTTCGCTTATAGGTGAGTTAAATAAATCTTTGATGTGTGATAAAAATTACACTTTGAGGCCAGGTACAGAGGCTCATGCCTGTAATCCCAGAACTTTCGGAGGCGAAGCAGGAGGATTGCTTGAGCCCAGGAGTTCAAGGCAGCCTGGGCAACACAGTGAGACTCCACCTCTACAAAAAATGTTATAAAAATTAGCTAGGTGTGGTGGTGTGCACCTGTAGTCCCAGTTACTCGGGAGGCTAAGGTAGGGAGGATCACCTGAGCTCAGGAGGTCAAGGCTGCAGTAAGCCATGATTTTACCACTGTACTCCAGCCTCAGGGACAAAGCAAGTCCCTGTCTCAAAAAAAAAGGAAGGAAGGAAGGAAGGAAGGAAGGAAGGAAGGAGGGAGGGAGGGAGGGAGGGAGGGAGGGAGGGAGGGAGGGAGGGAAGGAAGGAAGGAAGGAAGGAAGGAAGGAAGGAAGGAAGGAAGGAAGGAAGGAATTACACTTTGATAGAACTACAAGTGAGGAACTCTTGTTGCTATGCTGTGTGGCTTTGGGCCAGTGGGTCAGTTTTTGCCACAAGAAGAGGGTACCCAACTCCCAGGCCCAAGGTAGGTCTGGAGGGGGAAGACAGATGTGAAAGTACCTTGTACATCATTCACAAGAAGAAAAAGTCAGGGTTTATTGTTGAGACTTATCAGACTAGGCTACTCCAGGGCTGGAATGTCCCAGGCTTCTGAGGACCGCATTCTCCAGGCTTGGGACATAGGCCAAGAGAAGAGGCAGCTAGGGGCAGCCCTGGAGCAAGCCTCCATGCCCCAGAGATGCCATGCCGACACTGCATTCTCCACTTCTGATGAGGCCAAGATTCCCCATGGGCCTCAGGTCCTGGGGGATGGAGACCAATCAGGACCACCCAGAGAAGTCTTCCCAAGGCCATGGAGAGGCTGGAGAGGGCTGGGACAGGCATCTGCCCAAAAGCCGAAGCTGGGGATTTTGATGAAGGAACGAGAGTCCTCATCCAACAACAGAGGTCAGCACTAGGTTGCTAACTGGTGGCCTCTGTAGCCTGGGTTCTTTCAAGGCATCATCATTTTAATCATGGACAGGGAAGTCCCCCAGCTCACTGAACACGATCTCTGCCCTTACAATCCGCACACGTGGTTGTGCACACCACAATGATGTTACAGCCAGGGGTCCAATGAGCAATGCAGGCAGCCCAGGTCAGGAAAACGAAGAGCTGGGTCAGCCAATGCTGCACATAGGATGGTAGAGCACTGACAGGGAGAGAGAAGGAGACAAGGCATTCCGGTGAGGGGAATCGCGAAGGCCAGAATAGGACAGAAGAGAACAAACCTGTAGAATGTGGAGGAGGGGCTACAACTGAGGAAAATGAGGCAGGATTTGGCTCACACCTGAAGTCACGTGGGTTAACAGTCCACTGCCCCTGTGGTGATGGCAAAAACAGGGTGGGCAAGGGCTTATACCTGGGTGCTCCCCTAAGGGTCCCAAAAGGGAACGTGAAAAATTCTCTCACCCCCACAGGTCTTACTCCAGGCTCAGCTCAGTCACTATCTGCTACAAGTTGGCCCAGTCTCACCACCTCTCCAGATGCCCCAACTACTGCTGCTCTGCCGGTATGGTTGGACTTGCAGAGACCTTCCAGATCTGCTCCAGCCTTCCCCAACCCTGCTTCTCTTCTGAGCTCTCAGCCTCTACGGTCTCAGCCTCCTCTTTCAGCAGCTAATGGTATCCTGCTCACCTCCTCCATAGAGTTTGCACACTCTCCTCTTTTCTGGAGTTATATATTTTTCCTCTTCCTATTTTCCCTTTGCCCTGATTTCTTCAGCACTTTATTATACTGTAGGTGGTTTTAAATTTTTTTGCATGTTGCCTTCAACTCTGTGGATCAAGACAAGTGTGTGTAAACCTTTTTGTTGTCCTATAACTGTTAAGATTTTTTTCTGGGTTATCCTCTAAGCTTCCTGGATCCCTGTGTGGCAACTACAGCTCTCATTAGGCATAACATTGTATTGGGCATACAGTAGGTGCCTAATTCTTGCCTACTACAGGCAGTTTGATTAACATCACTTAAGTCACTCCCAGCCATGTTCAATCACTAGCCCATTACATACAAGCCTGGATTATTCAAATCCCAACTCCCCCTACGCTTTTCACTGACACTGTGACCCACCAGCTCTCAGCAGAGCCCAAGTGATTTGATGGCATCATCGCTGCTCCCTGAGCTGCTTGAACATGTCCACACCACCAGAAGGCACCAGACCTGGGTGTCTCAGTAGAAGGAGGGAAGTTACCAGCTACTTCTAAGGCCGGCTTCACACACTCAGCCATAACTCAGGGAGGAGTCGCGGCGTCTCCTCCCTCCTCAAGCCGGCCCAGAGGTCACAGTTCTGGCGTTGTCGAAGCCACAGGCCCAGGGGCGCCAGCAGGCAGCCTTAGGAGAAAGGTCTGCAAGGAGCCGGGCCGTGGGAAGCCGGCTTTCTCCCTGAGCAGCCGCCAGGTGCCGCCCTCGATGGCGTAGAGCAGCGTGAACATACGGTTGACCGTATAGACGGTGTCGCCGCGCACCACGGCCGTGAAGAGTGCTCCCTTGCTGTTGACGAACTGGCCGGGCAGCGCCGTCCACTGGCCCGTGGCCAGGTTGAGACAGTCGATGGCGCAGTGCAGGAAGTCGTCGGAAGGTCCGTTGCGCACCACGTAGAGGCTGTCGCGGTGGGCCACCATGCAGTGGCCATAGCTCTGCGGACGCCGCAGGTCGGCCACCGGCAGCCACGCGTCGGTCCGCGCCGCGTACTCCACGACGGCGGTGGTGTCGGCCGGCCGCCACAGGCACACGAAGAGGCGGCCACACGCCTGGGCGCAAGGCACGCCGGCGGCCGGCTGCGGCAGGTCGGCCACAAAGCTCCAACAGCCCGCGGCCGGGTCGTAGCGCTCCACGGAGCTGACGGGCGTCCTCTGGAGCTCGCCGCCGATGGCGTAGAGGCGGCCGTCGAAGCCGGCCAGCGCTATGTCATAGCGCGGCTGGTGCGGACTGGGGAACTCGCGCCACGTGCCGCCGTCAGGGTCGTAGCAGAAGCCCAGCTCTACCACCTCCTTGCTGGCGCCGCGCACGCCGCCCACGATGTAAAGCTTGTTGTCCAGCGTGGCCACCCCGGCCAGCAACGTGCTGGCCTCCAGGGGCAGCGCGGCCAACGTGCGCCACGCGTCCTCTTCCTCGTCCAGGTAGCACAGCGTGCGCGACGCATCCTCCAGGAAACCGGGCGCGGGTGTGTGCGTGCTCACGGCCACGTAGCTACTGGGCCGCAGGGCCGCCACGTAGGAGCGGGCCTCGGGCAGCGCCAGCTCAGCTGCCAGGTCGCACTCGCCGTCGCGGATGAAGAGCGCTGCACTGTGGAACACGTCGCGCAGGCCGAAGGCGGCAGCCGCGTCGCACAGCAATGCGCAGTTGTCCGACGTGAGGTTGTGCTCGAGAAAGCGCGCTAGCGCCGGCGCCTGCAGGAAGGCAGCGCACTCCACGGCCTGCAGCAGCTCGTCCTCCGCTGCCAGCGCCGGCCGCTCGCCGCGCAGCACCTGCAGCGTGACGCGGAAACCGCCCGCGCTCAGAACGCCCAGGCGCACCTCTGCCGCGCGCGCCTCCCGCATGCCGGAGCGGAAGAGGCCGCGGAAGAAGCCGCAGTGCTCAACGAGCAGGGCGCGGTCGGCTTGGAAGAGCTGGCCGCCCACCCATACCTGCACAGGGGTTTCCGGGCCCCGTGGCATGGCGAGCCGGCGGGGCGGAGGCCGCCACTGGGGCCTTGGGTTCGCCCACCACAGACTGTGGGGCTCCCTCGGAGCAAAAGCTTCCCTGGGGGCTATAAATATCTCTCCCTGGCTAAAGATAGTACGGCTCATGTGATGTGGTGGCCCGCAGGCTGTATGGCTGCGGGCCCGGAGGGCATCTGCAGACCTGTGTGGTCATTCATTTCCTTAGAAGAAATGGTAATAATAGTGACCATATGCCGTGCACCTGCAGCATGCCGGCGCACTGAGGGCTGCTAGGGAGATACCCATTTCACCTGCATCTTTCCAGCTGTGTGCCCTCGTGCGAGTGTCCTAACTGTTCCTCACGTTACAAATGGGGCCAGTAGGCCAGAAACGGTGGCTCACGCCTGTAATCCTAGCACTTGGGGAGGCCTTGAAGGGTGGATCACCTGAGGTCAGGAGTTCGAGACCAGCCTGGCCAACATGGGGAAACCCCGTCTCTATTAAAAATACGAAAAAAAAAATTAGCCGGGCGTGGTGACACGTGCCTGTAATACCAGCTACTTGGGCTGAGGCACGAGAATAGCTTGAACTCGGGCGGCTGAAGTTGCAGTGAGCTGAGCTCGTGTTATTGCACTCCAGCCTGGGCAACAGAGTGAGGCTCTGCCTCAAAAAAATTAAAAAATTAAATGGGGCCAATAATAACACCTATTTCACAGTCTTGGGACAACATCTGAAATATCCCGGTTGAGGGTGAGAGAGTTTAGGTAGCTTGTCCGGGGTCATTCAGCTAGGAAGTCGCTGAGACGGAATGAATACCCATCTCACCGCTTAAGCTCAGAGGAGTGGGACAGGCAAGTTGGAGAACAAGGCATAAATGGAGCAAATACGTTGGGCCAGACTGGGGTCCAGGACCAGGGTTTTAATTTGGCTTGGGCTTCTGACCCTGACTCTGAGCCAGTCCAATCTCTTTTTGAGTCTCAATTTTCTTCTCTGAAAAATGGAAAAGGTAGCAACCCTGCTTTGCAGATGAGCATCCCATAAAGCCCCTGAGTTAGGGTGGGAATGGGAATTCCACACTTGCTGCGACGCTCCAGATCCTGGGAAAAGGAGTTGGGGCTGCCTAGGGGATCATAGGCCTGTGGATGGGAAGAAGGGCTTCCTAAAATAATAGCTAACACTTTAATTGCATTATGTGTCAGGCACTATTGTAAGCACTTTATATTAACTCCTTGCAACAATCCTAGGAGTAGATACTATTATTTCTCCCCCCATGGATATTATCCATTTATTGCTTATAGCAACACTATGAATTAGAAATTAATGGCCTTATTTCATATATGAAGAGACTGAAGTGCCGAGAGGTTTAGTCACATAGCCAGAGAGTGGCACACCTAGGCCTGGAATGCAGCCAGCCTGATTCTAAAGCAGGGGTCCCCAACCCTGGGGCCACGGACCTTAGGAACCAGGCTGTGCAGCTGGAGGTGAGAAGTGAAGCATCATCTGTATTTACAGCTGCTCCCCATCCTCTTTACTGCCTGAGCACTGCCTCCTGTCAGATCAGTGGCAGCAGCATTAGATTCTCATTGGAGGGTGAATCCTATTGTGAACTGCATGTGGGAGGGATCTAGGTTGCCTGCTCCATATGAGAATCTAATGCCTGATGATCTGTCACTGTCTCCCATCACCTCCAGATGGGACTGTTTAGTTGCAGGAGAACAAGCTCAGAGCACCCATTGATTCTACATTATGGCAAGTTGTGTAAGTATTTCATTATATAATAATAATAGAAATAAAGTGCACAATAAATGTAATATGCTTGAATCATTCTGAAACCATCTCCCCTCCGCCGTCTGTGGAAAAACTATCTTTTATGAAACCAATCCCTGGCGCCAAAAAGGTTGGGGACCGCTAGAGGGTATGGCTATACCACTGTATTTTTGTTAGTGGTGGGTTTTTTTTGTTTGGTTCGTTGGTTTGGGGCTTTTTTTTTTTTAGATGGAGTCTCACTCTGTCACCCAGGCTCGTGTGATCTGCCTCTTGCGTTCAAACGATTCTCCTGCCTCAGCCTCCAGAGTAGATGGGATTACAGGCATGCACTACCGCGCCTGGTTAATTTTTGTATTTTTAGTAGAGACAGGGTTTCACCTTGTTGGCCAAGCTGGTCTTGAACTCTTGACCTCAAGTGATCCACTTACCTCGGCCTCCCAAAGTGCTGGGCCATACCACTGTGCTGTGGTGCCTCTCTGTGCTACAAATGCTGGGCAGTTGCCTTGTGTCAGGAGGGCATAGTTGGAAGGCACCTCAGGCTCATATGGTTCAATCCTTTCACTTACAGTGGAGGGAGGTGTGCTCAGGGTCTTGTAGCTTGAGGCAGACAGCCCCAGGCCTCCTGCTGCCCACTCCATGGCACTTTTCCCACTACACAGAACTTTTCTGAGTGACCAGCTAAAACTATGGGTCCCAAAATGGAGCTTGGGATGGAATGGAGCTTAATAATTATCTCCTCCTGCTACCTTATTCTAAGGTGAGGAAACTGAGGCCCAGACATATGTAAAATGGTATCTGCCATTCAGATGTGCAGCTGTCCCATCCTTACCTGCAGGCCTTCTTAGGGAGGATAAGGGGCTTGCAATGATCAAGTAGAAGGTGGGAAGAGGCAGGGGAACTTCTCTCCCCCCCTTAGGATATATATGCATAGATCCTCACGTGTGAATCTGCAGAACCAACACGAATGTGCCTCCCCTGCTAGGGAACTCTCATCCAGTTCACTCCATCAAAGCAGTGATGGGATGTGGGGACCACTTGTGTGAGCCTGGGAAGCCAGAGGCCTGGAGGAGGCAGCCAGAAATATCTCTGACTCTCTACCCCAGGGACCAGACAGGAAGAGGAGGAGGAGATGGGAGGATGGGTGGGCAGGAGTCCCCACGAATACTATCCCAGGCCCTCTGCCAGCTTCTCTCTTTCCCCGAGGCCAGATATTGGCTGAATGGCCTGGGATGTCCAGGCAGCAGGCATGACAGTCCCAATCTTGGGGACCAGTGGGCTCTCAGTGCTGGGTCTTGACAGTGTCCTTGCTGGTGGCCTTAGTGGTAGGGAAAGGGTGTCTGACTGTTCCCGTTTCACAGATGAGGAAAGAAAGGCTTAGAAATGAGCTGGGCTTTTCCTTGGTTGTGAATGGGGATGTAGGCCTGAATCAAACCGTGCCCACTGACCCCAGCTGCCACTCCTCACCTGCACTAGCCTTGCCCCAGGGCAGGGAAACAGTTGCCTTCTGCTGGGGACAGGACTGGAGAAGGGCTGACTCCCAGGGGGCTGGGGCTGCTGCATAGTCCTGGGACCACAGTTCCCTCCCAAATGGCCTGTTCCAGACACCTAGTAACTGGCAGACACAACCAGATGGAACCATTGCCTGGCCCTCTCCTGAGAGCAGGAGGAGGAGGGAACGCAAACCCCTCCTGGCTGAAGTTTGCTCTTGGCTTGATGTTTTCCAAGTCTAGCCCTGCCTTGAGTGGGCTGGGGCTCGGGCACACACCCAGTTTCCACCTCCAGCAGCCAGGCAGTGGGGAGAGGGTCATCCAAGGTGGGGGGTCATGTTTTCCTGAGGCTGGGCTGAGGATCAGCCCTTTGGTCCCGCCCCCAAGGCCCCAGTGGGGTGTTGCCTGCAGCTGGGGAGAGTTTCCTCCTCCTGGACACTGAGTGTCCCTCTGGGATTTGGAGAGGACAAGGAACTATCCCGGCTGTGGGCAGCCCACAGAGTTCCCAGGCCCTGCTCGACCCCACACCAACCTCCCTCTCCACTCTGCATCCCCCACACTGTGTGAGGTTGGGGATGGGGGCAAAGAAAGGAGAAAGGAACCTGCCTCAGACTCTGAGCCTTTCTAGAGCGCAGACCCAGTGTTGTTCATCCCTGTATTCACAGTGATTGGCACACAGTGGGCGTCTGTTAAGTAGATTCTCTGGGGCGCTAACCTGTGGAAGTCTCCGGTCTGATAGAAAAGATATAACCCTTACCCTGGGAGACACCCCCACTCTCTGAAGTCTGATGGGAATGCCCTGGCCCTTGCCACTCATGCACATAGGTGTTTCCGCACAGATTAGTGAGTGGCTTGTACTGCCTGGACCTGGACGAGGAAGAGCACTGGACTGGGAGTCAGGATTCCTGCCTGGGCTCTGATGCCGGTGCCACCACTGACTTACAAAAGCTACCCAAACTCTTCAGGCTACAGTGCTTCATCTGTAAAGTGGAATTTGAATCTGCCATCTAAGGTTCTGTTCAGCTTTGACATCTGAATTTATCATTCAACAACCACAAAAGTGGTTGTCATGTTGTGCCTCCAGAAGAGGCAACCACATCACAAAAGGGGACCAAAAGCTTAGCTTTACATGAAAGGGCTCCTGGGGGTTGGGTGGCAAGGGTAGGTCCTGCCATCAGAAAAACCTCACAGGCCCTACGTGTCTAGACCTATATTTGCTCCAGTCGTTCACTAAAGAGATATCTATTGAGCACCTGCTGTATGCCCACTGCTGGGCTTGGTGCCACATCCTATAGACTTTGAGTGCCCGGGGGCCTCCTATGAGACCCTTGATGGGGGTTGGTGGTAGAGGGTAAGGAGAGTTGGGTTACTTGCCCTAGCAGAATAACCTCTCTCTTGATCTGAAGTGTACAAATTTCTGGTCACTAAATGGTTGTGACTTCTTTGTAGGTGGATGAGAAATGTGTGCTATTTATATCCAGAGGAGTAGACGGAACTAACCTCTACTTTCTTGGGACATGGGCCAAGCTCTGGATAGGACACATGTTATCTAATATACTTCTTGATATTGTCCCTGCTTTATTGTATTTTGAGACAAGGTCTCACTCTCTCACCCAGGCAGGAGTGCGGTGGCACAAATACAGCTTACTGCAGCCTCTGCCTCCTGGGCTAAAGCTATCTTCCCACTTTGGCCTCTGATGTAGCTGGGACTATGGGTGCACGCCAACATGCCCAGCTAATTTTTTATATGTTTTTGTAGAGACAGGGTTTCACCATGTTGCCCAGGCTTGTCCCTATTTTAAAGATGAGGAGCTGAGGCCCGGAAGGGCAAAGTAGCTTATTCCAGGGTCTGACAGTAGCAGCCCCTAGCTGAGGAAACTGGGGATGGAGAAAGGGATGGGTCACAGCCATGAGGTGGGCACTGTTTTCCTCCTAAGCCTCAGAGGAGGGGCAGACTTTGAGCAATGAGCTGTAACAGCTGAGGGCCCCAGTAACCAGCTGGCCCACCAGCCTAAATAATCTCTGAACTGGAAGAGAAATAAGGGTCATCTTACTGCATCATGCAGGTCACAAAGGAGTCTCCTCTACGACACTTCCTTGCAGTGGTCACCCCCTTGGTTGCTGCCAGTGTCAGGGGAGAGGGGTTCAGTTCCACCAGAGACACTCCCTTCTAACTATGGACAGTCAGATGGTCACAGAGTTCACCCTCAGACTGAGCTAGAATCTTGCAGCTCCCATCTCCTGGTTGGTCAAGTTTTAAAGATGAGGAAACTGAAACCGGATAGAGGCCAAGTAACATCCCAGCATCACACAAGCTGGGAAGTAGCAGAGCTTAGGTTTACATGCAGCTGGGCCCGTGCAGGACCACAGCTAGCCCTGTCTCCAGCAGTCTTCCATTGAGATTGATTCTATCCCCACAGGCCCCATCTGGAACCAGTCTGTCTTCACAGGATGGGGCCAGCCCAGGGATGTGACTGGAACTTGGATCCCACTTTCTCAACTCCTACAACTCAAAGGAAAACCCTTGCCATTAGCTGTGTGACTAATTCTGGCCTGACAGTGTAACCTAAACAAATTCCACCCGATACCTTAATAACACAGCTGGTTTACCATGATTTCCCCAAAACACAACTAGGCTGAGTCAATATTCATGTCCTGGCCAGGAAAATAATTGTTCTTCATTGAAGAGTCGTTATTACCGTCCAGCTCTGACCCTGGGCCCTGCCTGCACACCTGGTTTTCCATGGTTCTTCTGTGGGTGGGTGGGTAGATGAGTTAACCATCTGGGGGAAGGGGAAGGAGAAGGGCTGCCGTGAGAGGTCTCTGAGGCCCCCGTGCCTTTCCCCACTCTAACCTGGTGTGTACTCCAGAAGAGATGCCTCACAGGGTTCTAGAATGTATGCAGGCCTGGAGCCCAGGGCTGATTCTGTCACTCTCTATTTTGCCTCATTTTCCCCTTCCTTTAGTGTTTATAGATGGGGACACCAAAGCCCAAAGAAGCAAGGTGACTTGCCCAAGATCACTCTAGGGAAGGAGCTAGCACTAGATCCTAAGTGTACAGGTTCGTGGTGTGGGCCATTTGCCCTGTCTTTGGTATGACCAGATTTAACCTGAGTCCCAGGGGGAATGACCAGGTGACCCATGCCAGGCTCACCACCAATCCCAGAATTGCTGTAGGCAAGAGGCGGTGCCAGGTTTTAGAACAAACACCCCATTTACACAACAGGCCACAAACACATGCAACTCATTAGCCCCCATTAGGGAGAGACAGTAATTCAGAATGGATTAGGTTTCTTGAAGCTGAACCCATACTGGCCCTGAAATGTTAGTAAGGGGTTCTCTCCGCCCCGCCGCCTCTCCCAGAAGCCTGGATTCTGAATGGGTTCTGCAGTGAGGCCTCTGGAGTCTTCACAGGAAAGGGCAGAATAATGTGATTGGGAATATAGAGTGCCAAGGCTGAGCTAAAGAAAGGGCAAGGCTTGGAATTGAACCCGGGAAGCTTCCTGGAGGAGGAGGCGGGGCTGGCTTGGTAGAACAAAGGGAGGGGTGGATTTTCTTGCTGGTGAAAAGAGATTGAGTGGGAGGTTCAGGGAAGAGTGCAAACATCCTTTCCCTCTCTCCCCCTAACCCTGAGGCTCCCTCTCTCTGCTCCTTCCCGGCCGGCTCCGGGGGCACTCAGGAGGGTGACAGGCCAGGTCCTCGAGGCCCAGTCCGGCGGTGGGGGCGCGGCCGGCCGGAGCTCCCTCGGCTCCAGGAGCCGGGTGAGCGCGCCCCGCGGGGGGCTCCGCAGACCTTACAAGGAGTTTGGTGGCGCTTGGGGTGGCCCCGCCCGTCAGGCTCCACCGGCCCCTCCTTCCCGCGGGGTGGCAGCCCGCTGGACGTGGGGCTGAGGGCGCGGACGCCGACGGGTCCGGGGCCGCGCGCGCCAGGGAAGCCTTCGTCCTGCTCCCCTGGGCCCCTACGGGCGGGCGTACTGCACGGGGCCCACCGGCCGCAGACCTGCGTGACTGTCCAGGGCGTCGCCATGTCCTCGGTGTTTGGAAAACCCCGCGCGGGCAGCGGGCCTCAGAGCACGCCCCTCGAGGTCAACCTGGCCATCCTGGGGCGCCGCGGGGCTGGCAAGTCTGGTGAGTGGTGCCGGGGAACCTGAGCCGCCAGGTGCGGAACTGGGCGTGGGTGGGGGGGACAGTGCGCTCTGCTCTTGGGGGCAGGTTCTTCCACTGGCCTGGGGAGCTTCCTTCACCCAGGAGGGTCGCACAAGACACCGTGATTTTCTTTGCCTCAGTTTCCCTGTTGCCAGGCTTTCTCTTCTCTCGGCTTTGTGCTCCGCTCCTCCATCTCTGTCTTCTGTTCCCTGCCTGCCTCTTCCCTTTGTGTCTTCCCACTGTCTCTGTCCTCCGTGTCAGTGACCCTGCTCTCTCTCCCCTCTCTCTTACTCTGTGTCTCGGAGTCCTTTATGGATCGGTCTGCCCTGCCACCAACCTTCCAACCCCTAACCCTATGACCTCCCCTGGGGCCAGCAGTCAGTCTTGGCGACTGACTCTAAAGGGACCTGTTGGGCACTGAAAGCCCCCCCCCGCCCCCTCCTCCCCCTCCGCCCCCTCCGTCCCCTCCGTCCAAGGCGCCTCTTTGAGCTTAGTCGCAGCCTTGCTACTCCCTGATTAGGCTTCGGGAAAGACTTCCCGTCCAACCCCTCCCCCTTCACACCCCCTCCCCGTGGAAAGGAGCTGGTGAAATCACTAGCTGTTGAGATTTTTCAGGGAAGGTCCACTCCCCAACTCCCATCCCCATTCCCTGGGATTCTGGGACAAGTTGTGCATTCTTATCAAATGTGTTTGTTTCAAACCAGACCCCTCTCAACTTTCTGGAAACACATTGGGTTATGGTTCCAGGTGCCTGGGATTGTCCTTGATGAGCCAAGATCTTGGGCTTCCATTGAGATAATTTGTGTCAACACTGAACTATGCCACTCCTGGCCGGCTGAAGGAGGGAGGGCAGAGGGGGTTCTCCACTGACTGTTTTTCCAGTTTTAGCCATTACTGATGGCCAACCCAAGCTCAGCTGGCTGTGGGTTTCCTCCCCAGTGTTCTGTGAGACTCGCTGGGGGCCTACTCTGATTCTGAAGCCAGCCCCACTCCCGTCGGAGAGGGGACTCTGAGTGTGGTTTTCCTACAGAAGGGATTACCCTCTTCCTCTGAAAGATTTGCCCTTTGAAAATCAGATTGTTATCCGTAGCTCTGTAACTGGTACCGTTTAGCCAGTGACTACATAAAAGAAAGAATTTAAATTTTAAAATATGTATTCCCTGAGTATTAGTTTGCAAACTGACACTGTTATGAATCCTAGGAAAGAATTTTAAGGATTTTATTCACAATATCACTTTTTTTTTTTTTTTAAAGACAGTATCTCTGTCATTCAGGCTGGAGTCCAGTGGTGCGATCACGACTCACTACAGCCTCAAACTCCTGAGCTCAAGCGATCTTCCCCCTCAGCCTCCTGAGTAGCTAGGACTACAGGCACACCACCATGCCTGGTTAATTTTTCTATTTTTTTTTAGAGATATGGTCTCACTATATTGCCCAGGCTGGTCTCAATACCCCAGTCTTGGCCTCCCAAAGCACTGGAATTATAAGCATCACATTACTTTTCTTTCTTTCTCTTTACTTCTTTCTCTTTTGTTCCTTCCTTTTTCTCTCTTTCTCTTTTTCCTCCCTCCCTCCTCCTTTCCTCCCCTCCCTCCCTTCCTCTTTTTTTCTTTTTCTTTCTTTCTTCCTTTCTCTTTTTCTTTCTTTGTTTCTTTCTTTCTTCTCTCTTTCTCTTTTCTTTTCTTTTCTTTTCGTTTTTCTTTTTCTTTTCTCTCTTTCCAAACAAGCAGTAGTGAACATTACTTTTTGAGGGTCCAGCATAGTAGTTGGCCGGTCCTTGCTTTATGTGGCTACACTCTGAACCAGAGAGCTTAATTCTTGAGTTTTACATTCTGCCGAGATACCCGTGATGAGTGTAGAGGCCCCAGAGAGAGCCAAGACTTGCGATGTGGGAGACCAGGACCAGAGTGTGTTTCTTCGGGACACAGAACTCACCTGGACCTTACCTGGAAAGCCCAGGCGCTTGGGGATTATACCCTTCCCAAGGATCAACCACTGTGATCAACTCTGCTCGTCCTGTGTTTTTGGCTTGTAGCCAAAGCCTGGAATAAATAGCCCCATATTTCAGAATCTCTATGACTTGTCCGGGGTGGGCGACACCTCCCTTCAGTTGAGGTTTCACCAGGCTGACTCTAGGGTAATGGTTGCATGGGTCCTGACCCCCAAGTTCATACCTTCACAAACACCCCTTAGGCTCGCCACTCATTGCTTTCCTTCCCATTAAGAAAAATTCCCGGTGCAATTAGAGGTACTTGGTTCCCCATATTTCTGGTTTCCTTCTGAGCCTCTCAAACCAATTCCTCAGTTCTCTAGCTTCATTCTCTGGGAGAGCTGAGTTTCATGTGAGTCAGGGATCACAGAGGTTAGATAAGGCCTCCCTAAAACGAGGGGCCAGCAGCTAGACATGGCAGCAGAGATGGAGCCAACCTCTTTCTGCTTCTTGCAGCCCTGACCGTGAAGTTTCTGACCAAGAGGTTTATCAGTGAATATGACCCCAACTTGGGTAAGAAACTACTCCTCCCTGTACCCTCTGCTGCCTGCGCCCCACCTGGAGTGCTCCCCTGGGACCTACCCCGTGGGTGGGCACTGACCAGGACTGCATGTCTGGGGACAGAAGGGAGAAGCCGCCAGGATGACCCAGCCCATGGGGGAAAGTGTTTTAGGTGTCAGAAATACCCCTTCCACAGCCCACCCCAGACAATTGGGGGGTTGGCCTAATTCACAGAACTAAGAAAGGCTGATTTACCCTAAAATATGAAGTATGATGAAACTTAAAAAAATAAAAATAAACATAGCAGGACATCCACATCCAAACAGGTATTATTCTTAGGCCGGGCGTGGTGGCTAATGCCTGTAATCTCAGCACTTTGGGAGGCTGAGGCGGGTGGATCACCTGAGGTCAGGAGTTAATGACCAGCCTGGACAACATGGTGAAACCCCGTCTCTACTAAAAATACAAAAATTAGCCGGGTGTAGTGGTGTGTGCCTGTAATCCCAGCTTCTAGGGAGGCTGAGGCAGGAGAACTGCTTGAACCCGGGAGTTGGAGGTTGCAGTGAGCCGAGATCGCGCCACTGCACTCCAGCCTGGGTGACAGAGCAAGACTCCATCTAAACAAAAACAAAAACAAAAAAACCTCAGAAACAAATAGGTATTATTCTTCAAGATGGTCAGTGTTCTCTTCCAGAAAAGCTGGGCAAACATTTGAGGAATTCTCTAGTGGTGCTGGCTTCTGAACCAGTTTTTTAACTATATGAGAAAACAACTCTTGTTTTTATCACTGCGTCATGGTATATTGGAAAAAGGAATGTTTCCGTGTCAGTCAGAACTGGGTTTGAATCCTACCAGGCTCTGCTCCTTATTGGCAAACTTGAGCCAGTCAGCTAACCTCTCTGAGCTACTGTTTCCTCATCTGTAAAATGGGCATTGAACAATACTTATCTCAGAGAATTGCTGTGAGGATTAAAGAAATAACACATGTAAAAGATCCAGCATAGTACTTGACCCACAGTAGGCACTCAATGCATTTTTGCTTTTCCTTCCTCAAATGGCTTCCTGTACACAATGGCTTAGATTCCCTCCTAAAACAAATCAAAGCAGGATTTTATTAGTATAAATGTTGCTTAAAGCTCACGTGTATAACATTTGTCCATTGTAAACTGTTCACTGAGAGCCATAAGGTGTCTGGATGATCTTAGCCTTTTGAAAATGGGTGTTGTAGTCTTGGATTATTTTCCCCATTTGTAAAAATCAAATAAAGCATTCATGGGACCCCTGACAGCCCTCCAAAGAAGCCCAAGGCTCTGTGACACAAGTGGAAACTCCCTGCACTGCCTGCAGCAGGCCCCTGATATGGTGCTCCTGCCGCACCTGGAGGGGAGAGCCCCTTACCCTAGTGGTGCCCAGCCCGTTAGTTCCGGCTGGAATCCAGCACCAGATCACAGTGTTGCAGCAGGCAGAGACATCATGGCTGTTTAGTCCCCTGGTTTAAAAAAGCTTTTCCTTAGGTAGCAGAATCCCTTCTTCCAAATTTTAAACAGAACCCCAGCGTGTCAAACAGAGAGAGCAAAGGGGTTCCTGTGGGTAAGTCAGGGATGCAGGGCAGGTGACATGGTGACAGTCCCTAAGGGATTTGTTCCTCGAAGCTCTGCTTGATCCCTGTGCCAAGGCCTTGGCACAGCCCTTCAGTGCTACAGTGGAGGAAACAGGCCCCAGGAGCTGAGGACTCTGGGCCAAGGTCACCCAGAGGAGGCCCTTTGGTTAGCAGAGGTCAGCTCCAGAGAGAGGAGGACACAGGACGCAATGGTGTGCTGGCCGGTGAGGTGTTGGGAGAGGCCAGAGCGTGGAATAGAGATGGCGTGGAGAAACTGAGGACAGAGGTGAGGTGGGAAGACAGGAAGGAAAGGCACACAAGCAGACATGGTGTCTGGGAAAGGACAAGGGGGATTCCCAAGGACAGGGCCTCAAAAGACATATTCGACCTAATTCAAATATTGCATGGGTCATGCTTATACCAAAAATTATTCCTTTTTGTTTGAAATTCAGATTTAACTGGGCATCTTGTATTTTTCCTGGCAACTCACCTCCAGTCTCTCTTCCTCCCTGCCTTCCAATCCATACTGTCACAGAGTCCCACCGGATGAGCCTATTACAGTGGTGGTTTGAGCCTCCTGATTGAGTAATTTTGGAGTTCTGACCTGGTAGTGGAATGCGTGGGCAGACTGTCTGGGAAGTGGGCAGCCTCACAATGGTCAGTCCTCTCGGCCTGTGGTCTCTCACACTGCACTGACAGCCCACGAGTCGGAGAGCCAACCAGACATTCTCCCCTCAGACTCTCTGGGAGGCCTGTGTCACTCCTCGAAGGTTCTGCTGAGAAGGGCCTGAACATTCCGGCCACTGTCCCATTGTTGTTTCCAGCAGCAGCAGCAGCAGCAGACTGAGACGAGAACCTTTCCTTCTGTGGATAAAGGTCTCCACCACCAGAGAGCTAGCCATCAGTAATGCTGGTAAAACCACTCTCTATGCCCTTCCTAGGTCTTCTGAGAGCCTGAGCTCATTTGGTGAGCCTGGAGGATGGAGATTCATTCCCGTTTCCAGCAGGTAGCACAGTACTAGCCTCAGTGTAGATGAGCGTTTAACTGTGGGGGTAAATTTTGGTTTTAGGATTACCCTTTAAAGAAGAGCTCCTATCATGATCCTCATTTTATAGGTGAAGACATGGAGGAAGAGAGGGTCCAGTGATTTGCCTTAAGATTATGGAGACCCTCAGGCACAAAGGAAGACCAGGCATGGCTCCAGTTGCTCTCCTCCAGGAGCAGCCTCATGTCATAGAGGGCCTGGAGTCAGAGGTCTGTGTGGCCCAGGGCCCTCTGAGATGCAGTTTCCCCATCTGGAAGATGGGACCAATAGCCTGTGCTCTGACTGTGTAAGAGTTGCACTGTGTTCTGGGGTATGTCTCCTAGAGCTGGTAGGAGCTGAGAGATTCAGTGTCTGTGGAAGGGCTTTGCCTGTGCTGAGCCCCACAGGAGTGGGCAGGGGTCTCCAGGAGAATATTCTCCTCTCCCAGAAGGGCTGAGCGTGCCTCATCTGGCTCAGCCAGGGGAGAATGTCAGCTTCTTACTCTTCTTGCCCTGCTCCTCCTCCAGCAAGGATATAGGCACCATTTCTGAGGCAGCACCCTATATACACTCTGATGTGAGCTTCTGTGGTGCCATTTAAAAAATTATTACTGTGAATGAGAAGAAAACATTGACAAATTCAAAACTTTGGGAAATGACTCTTCTCTCAGCACAAAAGTCCATAGACTATTAATTAGAACCAGGTGTTAGGAAGCTCTTATATTTAAGGACACCAGAGTACTCTGAGGCAGGGACTTGGTGATGGGAAGTCTGGACATTACTGTGACTGGGAAAGGAGCCCCTCACTCCTGCCCCAGCCCCTGAGGCCCATCACCTCTTCTGTAAAGGGAGGCTGGACAGTATGAGCGCCAAGGCCTCTTCCAGCTCATACAGCCATGATCCGCATCCCTGCCGGACTGGGCGATTCTGATCTTTCCTCGTACTCTGCCCAGACAGAGCTGGAGGGCAGGCTGATTCACTGAGCAGTCACGGGGTGAGGGAGTCCCAATGTGAACACAGCCCAGCCTAGAAGCCCTGAGTTCAAGTTCCTACTGCTGATTAGGTGCTGTGTGGCCTTGGGCGAGATCCCTTCTCTGGGCCTCACCTTGTCATCTCTCTACAATGGAGCTAACAGCAACCTTGAAAGGCTGTCCTGCTGTCGGCAGGAGACCAAGGTTGGGCTAGCGCCTTTCACTGGGCTGGGCAGGACACTGCACCCATTGGGGGGAACCCCTAAAAGGGGTGCATCTGACATCTTTGAGTGGAAAATAAAGACAGATCTGAAAGAGATGTAAGCAACTAGGGGCAGCTCTTCTTGGACTAAATATAGTTAAACATTTGGAACATAGTTTCCATTAGATTTTTTTTGTCTTTGCATAAGAGCAGCCTATTTATCCAAGTCCCCAAAGCAGGCTGGGGACAAGAAGCTGTCTGTGATTCATGCTGGATGCTAGTGGACCTGGAGAGTGTCCAGACCGGCTTGGCTGCCAGTAGCCCTCAGAGAGACGTGTTTGACTATAAATTCAGCCAGGGTTGGGAGTGTGCCCTCTCACAGTGGGTGCTGCCAGGAGGGCAGAGACCATCCCAATTCTGCCAAAAGGGGTCTTCTTTAGGGCCACTAGGGGCAGGGGACACCTAGGGAAAGGTAATAACCAAGTACACTCACACATGTGGGCCAATGACACAGGCACAGATTGGGGTTGGGGAGAATGACTGCCAACATGGCCGCGAGCTCCTCTGCATGCCTGGCCACTTGCTGCCTTCTCAGATTTGAGATCATGAGAACTATATGTGTGTATATATATATGTGTGTATGTGTATATATATAGTAACAACTCGAGAAATTCAAATAAGGTCACTAGTTTGGTTCATAGTATGGTATCAATGTAAGTTTCTTTTTGATCATTGGGCTGTGGTTATGTAAGGTGATGACACTGGGGGAAGCTGGGTGAAGAGTACACAGGAACTCTGTACTATTTTACAACTTCTATGTCAGTCTAAAGTATTTCAAAAGCAAAAAAAAAAAAAAAATCACCTGGGAATGTGATCCTGCCCTATTAACTTTGGAGAACTATGGTTCCCGCTGTCCTCACCAGGCATGTGTGGTAAGCCAGGCCCCATGCCCAGGGGGGCCCATCGAGTTCTTACAGAGCCCTGGGAGATGGGACTGTTAAATGAGCTAATGTCAAGCACTTAGCACAGCGCCTGGGACAGAGGAAATGCTTGGAAACTGTTAGCAATGTTATCATAGTGTTCCTGTTTTAAAATGAGGAAACAGCCTCAGAGAGCTGAAGTGATTTGGCCAAGTCACAAAGCTAAAAAGTAGCTGACATTGGGTTTAATACCACATTCTCCAACTGCAAACTTCTGACTACACTAGACTGACTCCCCTGCTGTCATGTTGACAAGGATTGTTTGTAAAACCTTCTTGGAACTTCTAAAGGGGGTCTGACTGCCGTCCTTCCATCGTATCATGTACTTCTCTTTTCCCTTGTCTTTTCTCCCACTGCGGGCAGGAGGGTGGTCGGAAGGGAAGAAGGTGGGAAAGACTGGGGTTCTGGGATAGAGGGGCTAGCAGTGCTGCTCCTGAGCCAGCCTGTGCTGCTAACAGGGTCTAGGGGTCACACACTTGACTCTATCCTGCTGGTTTTGTGTGTAGGTCCAGAACACAGTCCCGCCCCCGAGCCATGGTCTGTGAGTAACCACTGATGCTGAGTCCTGCAGGTGGAGCAGCATGTCCTTGGTGGGAGGGTCAGCCTGTAGCCTCCATGATTGTGAGAACCAAGGACTTTCCAGTGGTCCCAGCCCCAGAGCAGCTCCCAAGGTACCCCAAGGCCACATGGGTCTAGCACAGAGGGAAGCTCAAACTTACACCCAAGGCACTGTGTCTGACCTGGCTAACCATCTGTGTTGTAGAGGACACCTACAGCTCCGAGGAGACCGTGGACCACCAGCCTGTCCACCTGAGGGTCATGGACACTGCAGACCTGGTAACATTACCTCCATTACCTATGCACTGCTGCGAGTCACTGTAGCCTCCTGAGAAGTCCTGGCCCAGAGTGCGAGGCCTCAGATGTACATTTAGATGCCTTTTAAGCTCAAGTTTGCTGTGTAACCCTGAATAAGGCACTTGATTTCTGTGGGTCTGAATCCTTTCTTTGCCAAATGAGAAGGATGGGACGGGGCCTGGAGAGACATGATGGTTGCTGGCATCTGCTCTGAGATCTTGTGCTATGGGGCTCTGTGCCTGTGCACACGAGGAGGCAGGTACACACCTGTTTACACAGATGCTCCTGGTGAGAGCCCCTTAGCCCAGGTCTCTCCCACACACAAGTCTCCACCCATGTCCTCATGACCCCCTGCCAAGGCTGGATGCCAGTTACTCTCAGAAGCCAAAGGGGCAGCATGAACCCAACCCAGAACCAGCGGTGCCCAGGGACAGCCAGGTCTCTGTAGGGACCATGCCAGAGTCTTTGGCTCTGGGCCCAAGGAGCCAAGGTCTTCAAGTCTCTGGCTGGGTGGTGGGAGGGAGGTTCATGAGACAATGTCTCCTTTCACACCAAGCCAAATCCACACTCAAGTGCCCCTTTGAAAGGGCTCTGCTGGGAAACAATATACAAAGCCTGGGGAGTGGGGAGGTGGGATTGGACGGCTAAGGTGAAGGCCTTTACCCCAACCTCTCTGCCCCTCCTCTGGTGGGGCTTCTCTCCTTCACCCCAGGACACCCCTAGGAACTGCGAGCGCTACCTGAACTGGGCCCATGCCTTCCTGGTGGTGTATAGCGTCGACAGCCGCCAGAGCTTCGATAGCAGCGGCAGCTACCTGGAGCTGCTTGCCTTGCACGCGAAGGAGACACAGCGCAGCGTACCTGCCCTGCTGTTAGGCAACAAGCTGGACATGGCTCAGTACAGGTGAGCACGGCCTGCTTGGCCCTTGTCTCCAAAGCTCGCTTTCTTCGCTTGTAAGGGCAGGTGGCATCTTCAGGGATTAGTGGGCTGCTAAGAACAGTCATCCCCTTGAATTGAGGTAGAAGGGATTATATGTTTGTCTGTTTGTTTTCTGAGACGGAGTCTCACTCTGTCACCCAGGCTGGAGTGCAATGGCACCATCTCAGCTCACTGCAACCTCCACCTCCTGGGTTCAAGTGATTCTCCTGCCTCAGCCTCCCCAGTAGGTGGGATTACAGGTGCCTGCCACCATGCCTGGCTAATTTTTGTGTTTTTAGTACAGACGGGGTTTCACCTTGTTGGCCAGGCTGGTCTTGAACTCCTGAACTCGTGATCCACCTGCCTCGGCCTCCCAAAGTGCTGGGATTACAGGCGTGAGCCACCGTGCCCGGCCGAAGGGATTATGTTATAAAGGTATTGTAGATGTTAGTCTTCCAGGCAGCCAAGGACTTAAAGGGAAAGGTTTCTGGGTCACACAGGGGCTACACCCTGAAAGTCAGAAGAGCAGCCACTCCTTCCTCCCTCTTGGGTCTCTGTGGATTCTCTTGGATTCACCCTTCTTGCCTGAGTCTATCCTGACCTTCCGGCCCCACTCCCAGCAGCTGACTGATCTAGTGCCCGATTCCAATTCTAAGGAGAGAGGCTCTGATTGGCTCCTTGGTCAGGTGTCTGCTCTGGTCCAACCGGCCCTCCCCTCACCCAGATCCAGCCTCCCACACTCACTCCCACAGTTGACTGGGCTGACGGCAGGTTCTCTTAAAAAGTGTTGGACTCAAATCAGAGGTCAGAGACTGGGCCAGAGGACGCATTACTGAAAATACTGCAGCCATATTTTGCTTGGCTGGCATAGTGTCTTAAAAGACCTAGAACTGGAATGCTTTGAGGTGGGGCACGCTCTCTCCAGCCGACCCCAGGCCTCGCCGCTCCCCATGGTTTACCTCCACCCTCTCCACACATTCAAGTTGCCTGCCTGGCCCTGAGGCATTTGACACTGTGATGCCTGAACTTAATGAGTAATGCCACTGAACTTCTCCAGCACTGACCTTTGTCATCTGTGGCCAGTCTACCTGCAAGGGATAGCCCCTTCCACCAGCCACTCATCCCTCCTTGTTCACGGGCGGTCTGTCCTGCTTCCCTAGGCCCCGAGGGCACATTGACTGGTGTTAACAAGGAGGGGACCCTTTGTTTAGAACAGGTCAGATGGGCAGTGGGAAAAAGAGAGGTGTGGGGCCGTGAAGGGGGACTACAGTGAGAGGCCTTCAAAAAGGTGGCCAAGCCCTCAGACCCAGGCAAATTGTGTCTCCGTGAATGAGGGAAGTCATGTGACCTGAAAGCTGCTGAAGGTAGTCTTTGAGGAATCGCAGACCCTCTTAGGAGTCAGAAAACTGGATTGTGAGTCGGCCAGTTTCAATACAGGGAAAAAAACTACGAATCACTCTTTTGACTCCAATCTTTGCCAAAGAGATTGTCTAAAATGGTTTGGGAGCAAATAACAAAGAATACATGCTCAAATGAAGCTGATCCCACCCGTTCCCTAAAAACAACTTAGGACAATGTATTCCTATTTCATTCTTCGATCAAGTCCCGAGTTTAGTAGATTGAGATTCTGGGAAGCACAAGAAGTCTAACTTTTAGCTGAGCATTGGTCATTGTCTCCCATGACTGTCTCACGGTTTGAAGGGTAAAATCTGGGTTAGGTTGGTGCTTCCCAAGCCGCTGATAAAATTTTCACTAGGATGCAACAAAATAAGAAAAAGAACAATGTTCTGTGCCTCTGTCACCCACTCACACACACGCACACACACACGGGGTTTGTGTTTGTGAAAATTCATTATTCAAGCCCCCACAATGACAAAGTTGCAAATTCAAGCTCATCATAAAAGCACATAATAGCAAGTGTTCTTTCCAAAACGGTTCCTCAGGCAGCAGTGAGCTTACTGGCAGAAACCAGCCCTGGGTGGGGAATAGATTCCATGCCTCTGACTCGTTTTGTCCCAGTCACTCACTCTCTCTGAGACTCCCCCCACCATGGAGTGGCACCCGGGGCAGCTAGCCCACTCTCAGCCCGTGCTCCTGCCAGATCAGCCTTGGGCTCAGAAACTTTTCCTGCCATGGCCCACGAGTGCCTCCTCTCATCTAGTGACTGTGCCGTTATCCTCGGCAGTGAGCAGTGGGACAGCTCAGCAGTAGGGCAGGAAGATGCAGCCAGTGGAATCTCGCCCCCAAGACCTCAGGGACCCCCCCCCGTCTCTCCCCTCTTCTAGACATCTGACCTACGCAAGAGCCAGTCTTCTTTTTCCTCCCACCTCGATTCCCATGGCTTTCAGGTCAGAAACCTCCACGACCTTCCCAAGTTTTGGATATTCTATCCTCCCTTCACGGGAGGTGGTGTAGGACCAAGCCAGAATAGGTGTTGCCCCCTCTCTCCTTTTGCCCTCCTCACCATGAAATGTTGTCACCCCTGCCCTCTCCTGCCTCTGTCCTGGAGAGGCAGACAGAACACCCCAGGAGCCCTGAGAACTCTGCCAACCACAGGCTTCTGGAGTCACCTCTGTGGTCTAACCCTTCAATCCAAATGACTGCTTCTCTCTAGAGCTGATCCCACAAGCCAGAGCTGGGGGTGCCCGTTTCCTGCCCCAGGGACCCATGTTGGGGTAGAGAAGAGATGGGGCTGGGAATGGCCTGCTTCCTCCAGTCACAGGCAGAGTTTAGCATAGGGGATTTGGAGTAGCTTCTTACCCTCATCCTCACCCCAAAATTCTCGCTTGGGTGACATCAGCTACCATTTATTGAGCACTGACTCTGTGCCAGGTACTGTGCTAAGCACTTGAAACAAATTGTCTTTCGTAATCCGAACAACCCTGAGGGGCAGAGGTCAGTAATCCATTGTACCTATGAGAACACTGAGACTCAGAGAGGTGAAGATGACCCCAGGCCACCCAGCTAGTCCATGGGGCGCCGGGTGTAGGAGCTGGTCTGCCTGATTTGGCACAGCCTGCTCCTAACTCCCTGCCTCACCCTGCTTCCTCACCAGGCAAGTCACCAAGGCGGAGGGTGTGGCTTTGGCAGGCAGGTTTGGGTGCCTGTTTTTCGAGGTCTCTGCCTGTCTGGACTTTGAGCACGTGCAGCACGTCTTCCATGAGGCAGTGCGAGAGGCACGGCGGGAGCTGGAGAAGAGCCCCCTGACCCGGCCCCTCTTCATCTCCGAGGAGAGGGCCCTGCCCCACCAGGCCCCACTCACCGCCCGGCATGGGCTGGCCAGCTGCACCTTCAACACACTCTCCACTGTCAGCCTGAAGGAGATGCCCACCGTGGCCCAGGCCAAGCTGGTCACCGTGAAGTCATCCCGGGCCCAGAGCAAGCGCAAGGCGCCTACCCTGACCCTCCTGAAGGGCTTCAAGATCTTCTGAGGACCCTTCCCCAGGAACCCCAGGCTTGGTGGGTGGACAGGACTGCAGTGGGGCAGGGGCTGGCTTCTCACCACCGGCTTTCCCCTCTGATGGACAGCAGACCCCACCTCCAGCACCAAGCAGTGTCCCTACACTCAGTTCACTGTGCGAGCTGCAGTGGCAGGCAGGGATGCTGCTTCTGTTCCCTCCACGCCTTGGTCTTCATGGTAACCACCGCATCTGTGGCCCTGGAGGGAAACAGCCACTGTGACAACCCAGAGACCTGGGTTCAGCCTTAAGTAGGAAGAAATTGCAGTGTCCATCCTGCTGCCATCAGCCCTTCCTGCTCCAGCTACAGTTGGGCCAGCTGTGGCCCTTGGTGGACGGTCTAGGTGGATAGCTCTGTCAATGTCAGGCCTAAGAACCTGCAGAGTGACAGCCCTGGGGTCCTCGCGCCACCTGGTGGACGGGAAAGGCAGGGCGGCTGCCGTTTCAGAGGCCAGAGCCTGGCCCTCCTGTCATCTGCTGACTTCACAGAAGGCCCGGGCTACAAACCCCACAGTTTATTCAAGGAAATCTAGTTAAAATAATCCAATGGACAGCCTGGGCGGGGCGAAGAAGCCCCAGGAAGGGGTATTTCCAACACTTGATGTCTCAATGAGGATAAAAGGGAGGGGGCTATGGGTTGTCCAATGTAAGGAGCCCCAGAGTTCTTTCACCAGCAGACAGATTCCCCATGTGTCTTCCCACTGTTAAGGACTCTGTCCAAAGAACCTCAGGACCAGCTCCGTCAAGTTTAATGATCCAGGCTGCAGAAGAAAGTTGTCACTCCAGTGAGTTACCCAGGGCTCCAGGGAGCCCACAGCAGCATCAGACCCATCCAGGGGCTACAGGGCCTGCCCCCTTGCAGGTGGAAACACAGTATACCCGTTTGTCGTCTGGTTTGGCAGGACCCAGGACCCTCAGCAATGAGTCTGAGTGTTCAAAGCCCACTTTAGAACCTAAAGCATTTTGGGTTAATAAAGCCAATTTTTGCATATGTTATTTGGTGGTGTCACCGCAGCTTATACCAGGACACCATGGCTCAGACATGGGATCAGGACACTCCTTTCAGATCCCACCGTTGGCAAGAAAAGGCTCTCCAAGGCAGGCAGCGTGGTAGTTGTCTGTGTTTTGTTTACCACACGCCAGGTCCAAGGGAAGTCTTGCACAGACTCTTAGCAGACAAGCAGGGAAAGGAGAGGGCCCTGGTGGGTGGAAGGATTGGGAAGGGGGTTCTGGGCCTGGAAGCCTGCTTCTTCCCCTCTCAGCAGTCTCAGGACTGCTGTTGTATTGCAAACAGTATCTCTGACCCAGTCTTCAGTCTCATTCTGTAAATAGAGGAGCTGAGGTCAGAGCAGGGCTGTGAACTACTCAAGACCACATGCTTGGAGTCCTAGCCAGGCTTCCCGACCCACAGGCCAGCTACGGATTTTGCACTTTTGCTCCAGGCCACTTGTGTGTGTATGTGTGTGTGTACCACTGCCATGTGAACAAACTATGCAATACCACCTGCTCACTTCCAGGAGCATTTTAATAAAAGATTTTTTTTAATAACAGAATTTTAGTTTGCTTGCAGTTCATTCATTGTATCTGCTAAAAAAGAAAGGAAGGAAGGAAGGAAAGAAAGAGAGAGAGAGAAAGAAAGAAAGAGAAAAGAAAAAGAAAAAAGTGGGCTGCTTGGGAAAGACTGTAAAACCTGAGAGGTTTCAGGCCACTGAGCTGAGCCCAGATCATGTGCCTGGCTTAGGGTGGGACTTCTCTGAACCCTCACTAGCTCTCAGTTTCTGGTATGTCTGGAAGGAAAACTGACAGCACATCTCTCTCTTTTAACTCGAGTTCCACCTGGGCTGAGTTTGGCTTTTCTGAGAGCAAAGTCTCTCTTAGGTTGTTTAGGCTGTTGTGATCCTTGGTTCTGGCCTCATCCAAATGCAGGACTTCTGGATTTTCTTTTTCTGGTGGTTGCATCTTTTGTTTTCTGGAGGGACAGGGAACAGTGTTAATCGGGGGGGCTGAGTGGTTGGGGCAGGACTGGGTCTCCCAAATGGCTTAAAGAATCTGAAGGGAAAATTCTGTATGCATTCTGTATGCAGTTGGGGGAGAAGCGGCAATAGTTGGATATTCCCTCAACAGAGAAATGACTTACGCTTGCGTGTGTGTCATTTCAGGGAGTCCTTACTGTCACCTGTGAGCTCAAGTATCATTGCCACCCCCCCCCGCCGCCACCTTCCAAGTGAGGAAATGTAGTTCACGGAGGCCAGGTGCAGTGGCTCATGCCTGTAATCCCAGCACTTTGGGAGGCTGAGGCGGGTGGATCACTTGAGGCCAGGTGTTTGAGACCAGTCTGGCCAACATGGCAAAATTCCGTCTCTACTAAAAATACAAAAATTATCTGGGTGTGGTTGTGCCTGTAATTGCAGCTACTTGGGACACTGAAGCAGGAGAATCGCTTGAACCTGGGAGGCAGAGGTTGCAGTGAGCTGAGATTGCACCATTGCACTCCATCCTAGGCAAAAGAGAGACTGTCTCAAAAAAAAAAAAAAAAAAAAGCTAAGGATGCACATAGTTAGGGTGTGCACTTAAGCCTCCTGACTCTTGAGTCCTGTGTTCATTTCACCTAACCACACTGTCTCTAACCTTGGACTGTTATCCTACTTAGCACAGGTCCTTGTTACCACACACCTCATCCCTCACACTACTGCAGGAAATTTCTAACTAATCTCTCTGCTTCTGGGTGTTTCCTTCTCTAAACCATCCTAGGCACAACACCAGTCATGTTTCTAAAACCCCATCGTGTACACATCACTCCCCTCCCCCAACCACCTTCATTGGCTCCCACTACCCACTTCCTTAACCTTCTAATAACTCTCACGAGTCTGTCCTCTCTCCAGATTGGTTTTATTCAAGGTATCCCTAGACTTCCTGGCCATAGTGGAGGGACCCAGTGGGGGTAAGCTGTCAGCCCAGAGATTCTGCCTGGGTCGTAGGGGGAACAGGTCTGCTGTACCTGTGGACAGCCACTCATCTCTGAGTTGACCTTGCTGAGGTGCATGTGTCCTGACAGGGTGAGAGGGGCAAGCTCCCCTTCTGAATGGCTACACTCCTCCAGGTCATGCCTGCTTCCTGTCCAGGGCCAGGGGGTGGTAATCAGGGACTGTTGCTGTTTTTTGTTTTGTTTTGTTTTTAGCAGCTTTGGGTTCTCGAAGGACACTGAAGGCTGAATTTTGCTGTCCCAAAGGGTGGACAGCCATGATCCCTAAGTGACCCCTCTCTAGATTTCCCTCTGGGAAGGCAGGGCCTCTACCCCTCAGAGACCACCCCATTCCCCCAGGACCAGCTCCTCACCTGCTTGCCTGGATGCTCCTTCCCAGGAGGAACATGCTTATCATGACCACCACAGCCGCCAGGGCAAGGATGGAGTGATTCCAGGGAGATGCTAGGGAGGGACACACAGGACAGAGCCCTGAGGAGTGGCCAGGCACCTCTCAAGCCCACTAACAGCCGGGCCCTGGGCTCAGACCCAGCTTACAGTATCAACTGTCCTTTGCGTGGAGACCCTAATCCAAGATGAGCCCCTTGCCCTGGGGCACTCCCAGTGTAACAGGTGGGAGGGTGGAAGACACAGTCTCTACTCTGGAGAAGCCCTAATCTAATGGAGGAGACAGTACTGCCGTTAAATAACAGTGGGGCCACAGGGGTGAAGGGCAGAGGCCTGCGGAGGGCAGGGGACAGGTGGGCCAAGATAAACTTTACAGTCTTGAGTTTTGCCAGGGGCTGGCACAAGGCAAAGAAAGAAGGCTGGGCGCAGTGGCTCACGCCTATAATCCCAGCACTTTGGGAAGCTGAGTCAGGTGGATCACCTGAGGTCGGGAGTTCAAGACCAGCCTGGCCAACATGGTGAAACCCTGTCTCTACTAAAAATACAAAAATTAGCTGGGTGTGGTGGTGTACCCCTGTAATCTCAGCTACTTGGGAGGCTGAGAATCACTTGAATACAGGAGGCAGAGCTTGCAGTGAGCCAAGATTGCGCCACTGCACTCCAGCCTGGGCAACAGAGTGACCCTGCCTCAAAAAAAAAAAAAAAGAAAGAAAGAAACAAAAAAAAAAAAAAAGGAAAGAAAGAAGGCAGGGAGAAGGGTGGAAGGAATGGCAGCTGCCCACAGAGAATACATAAAGTAACTAAACTGAATGTGGATACTCAAGATTTGTCCATGCTGTACCAAAATGAAGGAGGGTCCAGCCTCAGAGCTTTTGCATTTGCTGTCCTCCCTCCAGGAATGTTCCTCCCCCGAATAATCTGCATAGCTAACTCCTTAGTTTCCTGCAAGTCACCTTCCTGATGATAAAAATGTTACCTTTTTAGTGAGGCCTTCCTTGACCACATTACTGCCCTTGCTACATACTTCCTATTCTCTTTCTCTGTTTAATTTTTCTTTTTATTACTCATCACCAATGCACTATGCATTTTAGTTGTTTATTTTTAATCCCCACTAGAATGTACGCTCCATGAAGGCAGAGGTTTTTATCGTATTTTATTCACTATTGTCGCCCCAGTGCTGAGAACACTGTCTGGTATAGAGTAGGAGCTTAATAAATGTGGTGATGATTGGAGGGCTGCGTAAATAAGCGACCACACCCTGAGAAAAGGAAGGGGCGGTCCAGCAAGACCCCTCTGGGTACTGAGACACCCCAGACTGAGTCCCTGTCTTGGAGGAAAAGTGCCGCCTGACCTGGAGGGGGCGACAGTGTCAGGGCCTTCAGCTAAACTCTGCTCTGTGTTGAGGGGCACACCCCGACCCCTGCCGTCAATCTCTCACCACTTACCATCTTCCACACGAAAAAACCAAAGCATCTCTTCCAGCAGCTCCTGGGGCACCACAGTACCAGCTGGGTCTCCGGGAGCCCCCTCACTGTGCTCCATGCCCCTGCTCCTGGTGGTGTGTACCGCTGGCAACGAGGTCCTTAGGCCCCTTAGCCCCAGCAGCCCTCCTTGCCTCCTCGGTTCTGGCCCCTGGGCAGAGGAGCCCTGAAGACCCCTGGAAACAAAGCAGAGAGCATGACTGGATATCCTACCCGAGTTTGATCTCCCTCGGTGCCCAAATCCAGATCTCCTCTGGCCCAAAGTTATGGGACCAAAACGACCCGAACGAACCCAGGAGCACGTGGAGCCTGGAAGGGCAGAGACTGTAGAAGTGGGGTGACTGAAATCTTTATTAAAAGCCATCGCATGTGTGGAGGAGCACTGATCTGGGAGTGAGAATGACTGAGCCACTGACGGGCTCTGGGACCCTTGCAAAGGACATCTCGGGTCTTCGCCTGTCCAGCGTCCCCACCTGGCTTCTACGAGCCCACAGCGCGCCCACGCGTTGCCGTAGCAATTGTCCCTTGAGTGTCATGCGGTAGCCAATCACAGGCCTGTGTTTCCCCCACGTGTCAAAGGCTGGGCCTATCACGTCTCTCTCCTGGGAATTGGCACGCCTACAGCACAGAGAGGAGAAAAGGGAAAAGTGCCAGAGGCAAACAGCTGCGGGCTCCTGATGCTGAGAGGGCACCCCCTGCCCCGATCCCGAGAGCTTCTTTTGTTTTTTGTTTTTTGTTTTTTGTTTTTTGGATAAGTTATCAGCAGAATTGGTTTCTGTTGTTTGCAAGGGAAGAACCTGAACCCATGCTCTCTGGATAAATCCCTTACTTCGTGTAGGCCTATTTCCGTCCCAACTATTAATAATAAACTGAACCTCAGTCAGTCTCAAAACAGTCGGACATTTTGACATCTTCTTGTACTACCTGTACTATTACCACTTAACATAAAATGTTCTAGCATCCATACTTTAAAAAACAAAAAGAAATAGGTGAAATTAATTTTGACAACATATAATATTCAGGCCAATATTAAAATTACTAAGTTATTTTGCTTATTTGCTTTTTTTTGAGATGAAGTCTCACTCTGTCACCCAGGCTGGAGTGCAGTGGCACGATCTCTGCCCACTGCAACCTCTGCTTCCTGGGTTCAAGCGATTCTCCTGTCTCAGCCTCCTAAGTAGTTGGAATTACAGGTGCGTGTCACTACCGCCCAGCTAATTTTTGTATTTTTAGTAGAGATGGGGTTTCACCATGTTGGCCAGGCTGGTCCTGAACTCTTGACCTCAGGTGATCCGCCTGCCTTGGCCTCCCAAAGTACTGGGATTACAGGAGTGAGCCACTGCACCTGGCCCAATAACACATTTTTTAAAAGGACACACATTAAACACATTAAACTGTCTCTTGGGGAGGAGGAGGAAGGGAGCAGGAATGGAGATAAACGTAAATAAAATAAAACAAGAGAAGGGTTTTGAACAGATCAATTATAAAACATGCCATAGGACACCAAGAAAAAAAGTGTACAGGGAGGATCGAAGCATTCTCAGGCCCCCTCACACTCTGTCACTGCCTTAGGAGCTCAAAAATCTCAGACCCAAATAGCCTTTGGACGCTCAGCCAGGGGCATTCAAAAACAACTGGATGGCAAACAGCCAGACAGAAAATCGGAGTATCAACAAAAGGACTAGCTTTGCATCAGAGTTTC